AAGGCACCCTAATAAGAATAATAATTTTTTAAAAAGACAAGTTTATTACTCAGAGAACTTGCCTTCAGCCATCCACTGACTGCAAAAACATGTTTAAACATGTTTTGTTTGGAATAAACCCATTCAAGCTCACCAGACACTCATTGGAAACCCTACACAGGGTCGCTATGGGTTGGAACCGAGTCGATGGCACTTAACAACAACAACATAGGAATTAGAACCCTAGTAGCAATACTTTTTGACTGACCCTTGTATCTAATATAAGAGACCATTGTTTTCCTCTGCTTTCTTTAAAACACAATGTAAAAAGCTATGACACATGGTCAGGTTAATGGCGCTATTAGAAGAATAGTAAGAGTAAACCCAAAGAAAGTAGAAGGCATGGGTCTAAGAACAGAAAATAATGAGTTCGGATTCAAGTATGTGCTCATCCCCATGGCTCAATTTTCAGCCACACAATAGATAGAAACGTAGCAGGATAGCGCCACTAGTGAGGTGGGTAGTCAACCACGCAAGATCTAAAGGGCAGCATTTACCCAAGGACAAAATTCAGAAGGGTTGAGAAAGGAGGAATGGAAACAAAAAACTCAGGGAGGAAGTGGGGTAAGTGATGTTACATTGACCTAATTTCACCATCTTATTTGATGGACAGTTTTGCTTGATATGTGATTCTCGGTTGGCAATTTTTGTCTTTCAGAGTTTTATATATGTCAGCATATTGTCTTCTTGTCTGCACAGGAATCAGAGCTTAATCTTAATAGTTCTTCTTTGTAGGTAACTTCATTTTTCCTGAGCGGCTCTTAAGAGTTTTCCCTTGTCTTTGGTTTTGAAAAGTTTGATTACATGTGTCTTGGTTTTCTTTTGAGACCTATCTTGTTTGAAGTTCATTCAGCTTCTTGAATGACTATCTTTTTGTCTTTCATGATGTTACTGAAGTTTTCTTCTAACAACACTTAGATGATATTCTTTGTGGCTTTTTTGTCTTTTCCTACTTTGAAATTCCTATCACATAAGTTATTCCTCTTGATAATGTCCCACATAAATCTTAGGCATTCTGCAGATTTTTTTGTTCTGTTTTTTATTTTTCCTCCATCAGATGATTATTCAGACATTTTTTTTCTCAAGCTCAGTAATTCATTTTCCATGGATTCCTTCCATTTCTTTGCCCTTTCAGTGTATTATCTATCTCTGAAGTCTTAGTGTTAATCTTCTGACTTTCTAATTGCTGGTTTTGTATAGTTCCCATATTCTCCATTACTTTGTCAATTAATGGAAAACAGCCATTATTCCATAGTTTTGTCTATGTTTTCCTTGATTTCCTCTAAAGTTTTCTGCATCTTTCTCTCATTCCATTGAAGTTACCTAATTAGTATTCTTTTAAATTCCGTATCAGGTACTTCCAATACCATTTCTGGTGCTGTATTTTCTGAATCTGTAATTTGGTGACATGCTCGACGCACTCTGTCTTATTTCTCTATGTAAGCTGAAACTGTTTTCTCTGAAATACTGTGGTGTGTCATATTTGTATTTATTTTATAGTTGCATATTGGTGTATTCTCAGACACTCACCACCTGTGTCCTGATGGATGTGGTAGAGACCGGTAGTTCAGGACCAGGGGCGTTACGCCAGGTGCCTGACCCCAGGCTGAGCAGAGGCTATGCAGGAAGTGGAGACACTGATTGCTGGGTTGGCAAAAGTAGGGACTGCTCACACATCTACCAGGAGAGCACAGAAACAAGGGAGAACTACATCCCTTTGCTGCCTGTCTCCAGCCACATCCTGTGCCTGCAGGCTTTTGTGTCAACAGCCATCTGCAGAAGCTTAAGATGGCCACACAGTCCACATTCCACCCATTTTTTCTTCTCTCTCACTACTCCTGTTCAGCCTCCTCTTCCAGTCAGCAACCAATAGACTGCTCTGTCCTATCCTCTGATACTCAAGGTTCCAGGATCACCATCTCTGTTTCACTCAGTCTCTCATGTCTTTGTTGTACAGTCGGCTCACGGTGTCTGCTTGCTCCTGACCACCTTTTCCGATTTTAAACTATGCAATATCATTCCCTTGTTCTTTTGGAATGACTGCCCTTTGGTCTACTATGTACAGATTCCACATGAGCACAAGTGTTCCAGAATTCCGATTTTTTAATTCATATTTGTTGTGATCCACACAGTCTTTGTGTAGTTAATAAAACACAGGTTAGCATTTTTTTGGTAGTCTCTGCTTTCAGCCAAGATCCATCTGACATTAGCAATGACATTCCTCATTCTGCATCCTGTTCTTAATCCAATTTGGATTTCTGACAGTTCCCTCTAGTGTATGGCTGCAGGTGATTTTTAATTATCGCCTGCAAATTATACTTGCAATGGGACATTGATATTGGTCAGTAATTTCTGCATTTCATTGGATCACCTTTCTTTGGACTGTACACAAATATGGACCTTTTCCAGTCAGTTAGCCAGGTAACTGTCTTCTATATTTCTTGGCATAGAGGGGTGAACACATCCAGGATTTGTTGAAGCATCTCAATTGGTATTCCATCAATTCCTGGTGTCTTTCTTTCCAATGCCTTCAGTACAACTTAAACGTCTTCCTTCACTACCATCAGGTTTTGATTACATGCAACCTCCAAAGGTTGAATGTCATATTCTTTTTGGTGGCGAGACTGTGTATTCCTTCTATCTTCTCTTGATGCTTCCTGTGCAATTCAGTTTTTTGCCTTTTATTGCTAAGTTCCATTGAGTCGGCTCTGACTTATAGCAACCCTGAATAGGTTCATAAGGAGCCATTGGTGGATTTGAAATCACCAACCTTGAGGTTGGCATTCCAGTGCTTATCCTATAACTCCACACCCATAGAATCCTTCAATATTTCAACTTGAGGCTTAAGTTCTTCTTCAGTTCTTTCTGCTTGAGAAATGCCCACAAGTAGTGGTTCTGAGTATTAGAGGAAACCTTTTAGGAATAAGCACTAACATGACATCCAACAGATTCATCCACTTGTCTTCATTTTCTTCTTCTTAAAACAGTACGTATAGAATCCACCACCTGTCAGTTTGTAGTATGGTGATAGCTATGTGTTGCTATGATGCTGGAAGCTATTCCATCAGTATTTTAATTACCTGGAGGGTGGACAGGTTTCAGCGGAACTTCTAGACTAAGACAGACTGAAAAGAAAGACTGGGTGCTCAGTTTTTTTAAAATGAGCCAGCAAAACTATGAATCAAAAATTAATGGCCAATACTGTGCTGGAAAATAAACTCCATAGGTTGCGAATCACTCAAGAGTACACAGTGGCCCCAACAATGGACTTGGAATGTAAAGATGGCACAGGACCAAGCAAGGTTTCGTTCAGTTAAGTGAGGTCTCCATGAGTTAGAGCTGACGATGGCAAATAACATGCAAAGGCTAATCCCATCCTTATAAACTGAAAGAGGTATCAGGAATTATGTTCTCCAACTGCTAACACTAGTCTCTAGGTGGTAGGATTTAGATTTTTTTTCTCTCTTTTCTTTTCCACAGTACATGAATTTTTTTTTTTTTTACTGTAATCTTATATTTATTTGAAAACTGGTAATACATGTATTAATAAGAGTTAACTGTTTTTTTTTTAAACTTTTTGAGAATTGAGTGAAGTTTATAGGCAAGATTATCAGATTCACATTCAACTAATTATACACTTTCTTTCATCTCAATTATTACAATTCCTTCCCTGTAACAATTATCCTAGTTCCTTCCTGCAGCTCTATGTATCTTATATTTCACAAATGAACAAAGCAAAAATATTTGATGCACACATACAAAACAAAAAAGTACATGAATTTTTATATTGAATATACATTTTTATAAAAATGGAAGTCACTTCTTTCATCAAACAATTTAAGATTTGGATTAAATGTTAAGTGCTGTCCAGTCGGTTCTGATTCATAACAACCCTGTACAGGATTTCCAAGGAGCAGCTGATGGGTTTCAGCTGCTGACCTTGCAGTTTAAACTCACCTTACTGTCCAGTCCTTTACCATACCAGCATTAAATATAGTAAAATGTTATCCGTTAGTGCTAACAGGCGTTGTCCCTACCAATTTCTGTACTTTTATTGCAATCTTTCATAATTAATACTTTTTAACTTAAAATTATCTCAAGTAACACACATAGGTGGTGTGGCACTGTAGGATGATAGCCCTGGACTGTGAACCACAAGATCGGCAGTTCAAAACCACCAGCTGCTCCTTTGAAACCCTATACAGGGTCGCTATGAGTTGGAAATGACTCACTGGCACTTAACAAAATATGACTGGATAACTAAAAACACCAAATTATCCCCAAATCCTTTCACTTCACCTTTAAAACTACTACGACGTCCATAATCTCGTCATTGCTGGTTTGGAGTCAAGTTGAAAGTTACATTTTTGTTCACTTGTCAAGAATGACTTGAGAAATGTGTGTTTAAAAAATACCAAAAGGAAATATGCCTCCTAGTGGCAAGATTAAGGACGATTATTTTTCTGCTTTTTCTATAATTTGTTAGTGCTGCCGATTCGATCCTGTATAGGGTTTCTAAGGAGCGGCTGGTGGGTTTGAACACCAACCTTGCGATTAGTCCAGTGCTTATCCTACACAGCACCATACTAGGATTCCTTTTGTATCATACTTTGCCCTTAACTTTTCCAAATTATATTATCAGTTGTTGTTAAGTGCAGTGGAGTCGGTTCCGACTCAGAGTGACATTGTACAGGGTTTCCGAGGCTGTAAATATTATCAGTAAAACATGTTAAAAAGCTATTAGACTCAGTACTGGGCTAATGCAGGGCAAGGGCCTTCTATTTGACTCTACAGACCTAGGACAGAGCAATGTCCAACCCAGTAGGGCCTTGTTTGTTCAGTCTGGACTCATTCTCTTGCCTCTCCCCCACTTTGCAGGAATCAGTTAAAGCACACTAAATGGCGACAAGAGCCAAGGAAGTCTTGTCTCCTCGAAGGCCAATGAAACACTTGAGGCACATACTTTTGGTCAAAATTAGTAAACTTTATTTAAACTTCAAAAAATAAAACAACACACAAAAGGCAGCGTTAGCTTTGTTTGTTCTGAGGATCCAATGTAATGATCCAATGCAGGAACTACCCCTAAGAAGTTAAAACACCCTTTACCACCAATCGAGCCACAGGCAAGGAAGGATCCTCAATGTGGGGACAGGCCTGGGGTGGAAGGGGTAGGGAAGAGAAACCACAAGTGGGCAAGTGGGTTCTGAGAAAGCACACTTAGAAAACAAGACAAAAAGCCCATCACACATGGAATCCACAACTTCAATGGGAACTGTCACAGGGCTTATGTACAAGAGGGCTAGGGTAGATACAGGTGGCGAGGGAAGCAAGAGGTCTGAGGAATCGGAGGCACCCTTCTCTCTAGCCAGCTGCTGCTGCTGGGACCTGCTCACCCTCAGTTCTCCTCATCACTGTCATCTGGGCTGATGGCCGGGCTGGTGAGGCTATAGGTAGGACTGGTGGGCGAGTAGCCAGGGGAAGTGGGAGAGTAGGTAGAGCCTTTGGGGGAAGTAGGGGAGTAGGTGGGGCTGGTGGGCGAGTACTTGGGGGAAGTGGGTGAGTAAGTGGGACTAGTAGGTGAATACTTAGGGGAAGTTGGGGTGTAAACAGGAGAGGTTGGTGAGTAAGTAGGTGATGTTGGCGAGTATTTTGGGGTGGTTGGTGAATAGGTAGGGCTGGTAGGAGAGTACTTGGGAGAGGTGGGCGAATATTTGGGACTGGTAGGCGAGTACTTGGGTGAGGTTGGGGTGTACTCTGGTGAGCTGGGGCTGTAAGAAGGACTGGTTGGGGTATACTTCGGTGAAGTGGGGCTGTAGCTTGGAGAACTTGGGCTATAGCTGGGAGAACTTGGGGTATAGGTTGGAGATTGTGGTGTGTATCGTGGACTTGAAGGAGAATAGCTGGGAGAGGTAGGGGAGTAGCTGGGCGAAGTTGGAGAGTAGCTTGGCGAGGTGGGGCTGTAATTAGGACTGGTTGGTGTGTAGTTGGGACTGGTGGGTGAGTAGCTGGGTGAGGTGGGGCTGTAGCTGGGTGATGTCGGGGTATAATTGGGACTGGTTGGAGAATAGTTAGGACTGGTGGGTGAGTAACTTGGGGAAGTCGGTGAGTAGCTTGGAGAAGTTGGCGAGTAGCTTGGAGAAGTTGGCGAGTAGCTGGGGGAGGTGGGCGAATAGCTGGGTGAAGTAGGTGAGTAACTGGGAGAGGTTGGGGAGTAGCTGGGAGAGGTTGGGGAGTAGCTAGGAGAGGTTGGGGAGTAGCTAGGTGATGTTGGGGAGTAGCTGGGAGAAGTGGGAGAGTAACTCGGAGAGGTCGGAGAATAACTCGGAGAGGTCGGAGAATAGCTAGGGGAGGTCGGTGAGTAGCTGGGGGAAGTTGGTGAATAACTAGGAGACGTGGGACTATAGTTAGGACTGGTTGGAGAATAGGATGGAGAAGTAGGGGAGTAGGACGGTGAAGTGGGGGAGTAAGAAGGGCTCTGGGGAGTATAGCCCCCTGGGGAGCGGGGCTCATAGGCAGGAGATGTTGGTGAGTAGCTGGGAGACATGGCACCACCTATGGGAAGAAAGCAGACATAGAAGTCAAGTGATGGGGAGACTCATGCACAAGGGTCAAGAAGGAAATGAATCTAGCCCCTGACAGATGGGGACAACTCACCTGGTGAGGGGATGTATGGGCTTGAGGGGCCTGGAGAGCCCGGGGAGCCTGGTGGGGGAGACCAGGCAGAAGAGTATCCTGGGCTGAAGCCACTGGCATCTGAAGCAGCACTAGGAGAGAAGCCAGCTGCCCCTGGGGTCATTCCGCTCCCTATAGAAAGAAACGGGTGAAAATCAGAGCTGGAGTCAAACCCAACTCCCCAGCACCCTTCCCCTAGGGCCACCCTTGCACAACCTCCACTGTCTCAACAGTGGATAATGTGAACAATACCACACCTCACCCATCCTTGGAGGTATAGGTGCCTAGAAGGCTCTCTTCCCTGGACCCAGTTACTCACCAACACTGGGGGACCAGGTGCCATAGGCTGGAGTGGCACCTGGGTTCCAAGGCGTCATGGCAGGAGAAATTCCTCCCATGGGACTGGGCGCTGAGCCAAAGAACATGCCGGTAGCTGCAAAGAGACATGCAATAATTTAAGAAGAAGAGCACTCAGGAACTTGCAACATTCCCCACCCACCCCCTGCCTCACCTCTTCCTCAGACCCAGCCAGATTATGTATAGCAAAGCTTCCATACTCACGTCCAGCAGCCCCCAGGCTTGGGATGTTGGTGGGTATCTCCATGCCATATTTGCATTTCTCTGCATCCAGCAGGAGGTCAAAGCAGCCAGTGCCAGCGGGGGCAAGCTGGCCGAGCATGATATTTTCAGAGACCCCTTTCATGGGGTCACTCTCCCCATGTGCAGCTGCTTCCATGAGTACATCCACCTGAAGGACCAGAGGCAAGGGGCAGCACCTTCAGAACCTCTACACACTAGGTCTCGGCTGTTGTGAAGAACCGCTTGTTCCCATTGCCCACTTGCACTTTAGTGGGTGCCCTCCTTCCCATCCTTCTTTCCCTTCACCCTGCTCAGAGGATCTGTCATTACCGTTTCCTCAAAGGAACATTTCATGAGCGGTCCAGTGTCCTGGCGGTTGACGCCATGCCGAGTGATGGCCATGAGGTGGCCACGGCAGGTCATGGTATCACACAGGAGAGCCAAGTGCCGGTAGTTGACGTAGGAGCCGTCAAAGGAGATGACATGATACAGCTCCCGTTCCAGGGCCTTCCGCACAGCCTCAATGCCCAGCACCTGGCATGGGGTGGGGTGGAAGAGGTCAGCACCTGATAACTCTGTTCTCTCAGCTCCTGACGCTACCCAGATTAGCAGGGAGTCAGGAGTCAGTGCATCCTAGATCCAAAGTAAACTTAGCCAGTTAAAAAAAAAACAAAACAAAACTGAGCAAGGAAATCCTATGCACTAAGCAACCATTATCCAGAAGCCAAAGGAGCGACCCCAGAGCCAGAGCACCCCAGGAAAGGAAGCCGAAACAACAGCTCCAGGCTCCAGCAGCTCACCGTGAAGATCTCCACGATGTCATTGGAGGTAGTGCGCACAGGGTCCACGTCCTTCTCGCTCAGCACCCTCATCAGGCTCACACCATCAGTCTCGAGGATCCACTCCTGTAGGGCCTTGAATTCTCCATCCTCAGTGATGATGATCTTCTTTTTGTTGTCCGTCTGAGGCAGGTGCATGTACACCTGAGGGGAGACAGCAAGCTCAGGCTGGGTGGAGAACGGAAGGGTGGAAGAAGCCAGAGGCTGCGAGGGTAGGGCTGACCTTGCTGATCTGCTCGATGCCCTGCAGGGTCATGTCCGTCAGCATGTTGGACTCGATGCAGCGCAGGAAGACATCATCATCCATCTTATCCACCACCTCTTCCTCCTGTGTCCAGGGCGGGGAATCAGGCTAGGCAGGATGCAGAGCTCTGTGCTCTTGAGTCCTCGTGTGTGTGTGAGCACTCTAACATCCAGCATTTTCCTATTCTGATTCTGGAACTTAACTGAGTCCACTTCCTGTTACTGACTTGACCTTACTCTCCTTTTAGTGGTTGTGTACTGTATTTCATCAAGATGGATAAAAAGTATTCTTACTTCCTGAAATTCAAGAGTTGGTTCACACCTGCTGAACCATCTTTTTCAGGAGCCCCAGGAGTGAACTCACTAGTCCAACATTTTTATGGGTCCTGTTACACCTGCTGTCACACCACCTTCCTTAGGACATAGCAGTCCCCATTGTCCAACCATCCCCCATTCTGAAATAAAATGGAACACCTGTATTTCTTCAGTCACTAATGTGATTTAATAGTTTTCTATGTTGGTGTATTAATTTATTCTTGAGTCCCACCTACCTCTTGCATCTTGTTTTCGTCACTGTTCATGATACGGATGCGGAGCACCAGCTTCTCTGCATTGTCATCATTAAAGATGCAATTCAAGTCATCGCCAAAGCCTGGGAGGGACACGTGCAAGCCATGAGGAAGATCACATCTAACAAGAGCACATCACTGTTTACACCCTCAGATCTCCCCTTACAAGGCTCATCTTTGGGCTCCTGCTCCTTCTTGTAGAACCCCTCAAGAAAGAAGGGGAAAGACTAAGTAAGAACAGAAAAGCACATGAGGGGAACTAGAGATATTTAAGACTTGGCAACAGAAACCTTGGAAAAAAGATGTCTTAAAGGAGCAGACCTAGTACATGAAAGGTGGCAAAGTGTCAGGGTGACTGATGGGCAGTGAACATGTCAGCGGAGACAGACCCAAGCAGAACCCTGAGCCGGGCCTGCCCTCCCAGACTCACCAGCATTAATCTTTTCCGCAATCTGCTCCATGGTCAGCTTTCGGTCTGTCATGTGCTTCCGGTCCAGCTCCACTCTCAACAGCCAGGGGGAGATCCGGGCCACATCAAAGTCCGGCATCTCGTAGTAGACATTCACCCACTCCTGGTCCTCTGCTACCACTGTGCTTTGGGGGTTGGGGTCATAGTAGATGGCTGTGTTGGCAGTCACCTTTCTCAATGTTGTATGTTCTAGGCGGCACAGAATGTCCTGGGAAAAATGAGGAGTCACAGCATAGGGATTTGGGTAACCCCAAAAGTCATGCCAATCCCACCAAAACCTTTTATTCAGAGTAAAGAGTTCATCTCCATTTCCTCCTGTCAAGCTCACTACCCCCAAGCCCTACCTTAGCTCTCTCAGCATCTCGAGCAGACTGGCCCAACAGGAAAACAGTAAGAGAGGGGGTCTTTGGCTTCTTGGAAATGTTGATGAGCTCCTTAAGTCGGGGCACACCTAGCGTCACATTCTTGGCAGATACACCAGCATAGTGGAACGTGTTCAGGGTCATCTGGGTGGCAGGTTCTCCTAGGGACTGTGCAGCTAGAGCTCCCACCATTTCCCCAGGATGGGCCTAAATAGTAAGGAAAGTTAACATCAGACAAAGCAAATAGCTCACACTGGTGTATCAAAGAAAGACACAATCTCTTATTCTTAAGTGACACGGGGCAGATGAGCTTGGGCTTAGAGCTCAATGTAAAGCACACCGTTTAGCTGTATACCTAGGTATCACCTACAATCCAAACTTCAAAAAGCATACTAAAAATAACAGGTTAAGTATTAATTTTACAGCAGTCTTTTAAATAAGAAGGCTCCTTAACACTACATTTTGTTTATCCATGCCACCAATTAATCTAACCACTGGTGGCATAGTGATTAAAGCACTCAGTTGCCAAACATAACATCAGTGGTTTGAACCCGACAGCTACTCCACAGGAGAAAGATGTGGCTGTCCGCTTCTGTAAAAAGCACAGCCTTGAAAACCCTATGTTCTGAAGGGTCAGTATGAGTCGGAGTTAATGCAATAGCAGTAATATTTTATTGTGGTTTTGGGAAAAGTTTACATAGCAAGTTAGGGTCCTATTTGACAATTTCCACACAAATTGATATATAAAATAAATATTAGTTACATTTTTCACATTGTCAGCATTCTGTTCGTGTTCTGGGGTGGTCCTGTTTCCCTGCCTCGCTTCAATGCATGTTTTTTTAATTGAGAGATAACCACGTACTATAAAATGTTTTGGTTTGATTGGGATCAAACATATTACTTAATTATATGCATTTATGTCATGTATGTCTATCTACGCCTTTAAAGTTTATTTTTATCACTGAATAATATTCTCTGGTATTGTGTATCTCTTCAGTAGATAGGCGTTTAGGTTGCTTCCACTGCTTGGCTATTATGAATAATAATTATTCTATGGAATATCTGTATTTTTGTAGGGACATGGTTTCTGTTATCTTGGGTATATTCTCCTAGGACTGAAAATGCTGGGTCATATAGTAGATCTAACTCAATGTTTAACATTCTGAGAAACTACCAGACTGCTTTCCAAAGCAGACACACCACTCCTATCAACTATCGGTTTCAACTAAGGTTCCAATTTCTCCACATTCTCAGCAACACTTGTTATTTATTGTCTCTTTTTTATTTTAGTCATTCTAATGGAATCCTGGTGTGGCTCTGTAAGATAAGCACACCGCAAGATCAGCAGTTCAAATCCACCAACCAACTGTTCCTTAGAAACTCTTTACAGTTTCGCTAAGAGTAGAAACAACACAATGAGTATGAAATAACATCATTCTGGGTTTTATTTGCCTTTCTCTGATGGCTACTGATGCTAAACATCTTTGCACATGCTTAATGGCCATTTGTAATTATCTTCTTTGGAGAAATGTCTATTCAAACTTTTTTTCCTTGTTGACCTCTAAGATATGTTGTTGTTTTTTTAAGATGGGTTCTTGATACATCTGGACACAAATCCCTTTACCAAATATATGAATTGCAAGTAGCTTCCCTTATTCGGTGTGTTGTTTTTTTACTTTCTTGATGGTATTCTTTGAAGCACAAAAACTTTAATTCACTGACAAAAGTCCAACGAATTTTTTTCTTTGGTTCTTATCTACTTTTAAAACCACTGCTTAATCCCAGTTATGGAAAACTGTTGTGTGTGGTGGTGGGATTTAGACTGTATTTTCTCCTATGAGCTTTACATAGTTTTAGCTTACACTCCCCCTTTTTTTTTTTTTTGTATATAGTGTAAGGTATAGATTCAGCTTGTTTTTTTTTTTTAGATACAGCACCATTTGGTGAAAAAATACTCATTCTCTATTGAATTGTGTTGGCACCCCTTGTCCAAACTCAAATGATCATAAGTGTGAGGGTTTATTTCTGATTTGATTAATTATTCTGAGAGTCTTGGTGTGGCAATAGGATAAGCACTGGATGGTTAAAGTTCAGTGGTTCAAACCCACTAGCCATTCCTTGAGAGCCCTATACTGGGTGGCTATGAGTCAGAACCAACTTGATGGCACTTAACAGCACCATTCCATTGATCTAAATGGCTCTCCTCATGCCACTGCCATATTGCCTTAATTACTATAGCTTTGTAGTAAGTTTTGAAATCAGGAAGAGCCAAAATACAGTAAGAGAAAAAGTCAAAGAACTCATACTTTCTGATTTCATTCTGATTAAATTTCAACAGCAAAGGTAGCTTGGATTTTGAATTTGTAGATCAATTTTGGGAGTATGGTGGTTGGTGGTTATGTGCCGTGGAGTTGGTTCTGACTCACAGTGACCCCGTACAGGGTTTCCAAGGCTGTAAATCTTTACGGGAGCAGAAAGCCTCATCTTTCTCCTGCAGAACAGCTGGTAGTTTCGAACTGCTGACCCTGAGGTTCGCAGCCCAATTCCTATCCTCTACGCTACCAGAGCTCCTTAATTTTGGGAGTATAGTCATCTTAATATTAAGCCTCACATTTCATTAACATGAAATGTTTTTCTATTTATTTAGGTCTTCTTTGTTTTTTCATTTTCCCTAATGAATTTTTATATTATTTAATTTATAAAACTGGATTAAAGTCAAATGGATTTAGAGACAAATCTATAATTATAATGCTTTTCTCTCCTTCCATTATCCCTAACATTCTTAAAGACAGCAATAACAAATTCTAATATCTGTAAATCTCATCCCTACTTATTCCAATTTCCTACCTTCATCTAAATTAGAACTCTGCACAGTTTAAACATTTCATGAAAATAAAGACCAAGAATCCTATTTCAAATCCCAGCGATGACAATTATTACCTGTATGACTATCATACAATTAAAGTCACACAATCTCTCCAAGCCTCAGGTTTGCCTTTGCAACACTCCCCTAAGAGGACTGACACACGGTTACTAGGATAATGAGGTATATAAATCATTAAGCACAGGTTGGCACAGAGAAATCTTTCAGTGAATGAGAGCAATTAGCAGGTGGTTGTAGGCAGATGTGGGCTTCTAGGAGTCCACAAAACTCACAGGTAAAAGGAAAAAAACAAGGATCTAGTGAAAACACAACACTCACAATGGCTTGGTTGAACTTGGACTCAATCTCTCCAAGCAGCCAGTCGAAGGCCTCTCCACTGAGCCGAAACTCTTCAGCCATGCGGCGGGAACAGAGTGTGGACCGTAGGTGGATATTGAAGAGCAATGTGGCGTTCTCCTGAGCTTGCCGGCTTAGGGGGTCATCCCCATTTACAATCACTAGCTTCTTGCTCAGTTCCTTGACGCCTAAGGGCCAAATGTGGGGGAAGAGATTGTTACACAAGGGCCTAACAGGCTCCTGTACTCAGGCCTGGCCTGGAGCCCACCTAAGCAGGTACTCACCCTCTACCACCTTGATTGGGTGCAGGTCAGAAGGCAGGCGAGGGTTGATGTGAAAGATTTTCTGAGCATTCCAGATCATGCGCAGCAGGTTACAGGGAAGGACAACCTGAGAGAGAAGGAAATGGAAGATCACAAGGTAGGAAAAGCCACCAGTGGTAGCATTCTCTGATCCAGCAATCTCTGCCCACACACACCTTGCTATCACCAGTTGGGAAGATGACCCTGAGCACTTCCCGATCCTCACGCATTCGTTCAAATTCCCGTTCCAGCTCGTTCTGTATGTGAGCGTTGCTCAGCACATCCTTAACCAGATCTTCCTGCAGAGTGCGCCGCAGAGCCCGTTCATTAGTATAATCAAAGCGGAACCTGCAGGTGGGAGGGATAGGGTCAGGGTTGCTTTATGGCCTGATCCCCTCCAAATAACAATGTGAGGCTTCCAAAGTTGCAGACCCGTGGGGCTTCAGGGGCAAAAATCCTGGGCAAAGAAATAGAAGATAAAGGCCTAAAGGCTGCCAAAGGGCCTGAACATGTGCCCACCTCCAGGGATGTTTTCTGCTATCGCTGGGTACAAAGCAGGGATGCACCTCATCTGTATGCTCCATCCCACCCCATGTCCCACTTTACAGTTGCTTGCAGAGGTGGGCAAAGTGCTTTAAAAAAACAAGACCATCTCTCCAGTCAGAGGAGGAAGAGTGACTACCCTAACAACTTAGGCCCTGAGTCCCCCAAGACCAGAAAACTACCCCCTGCCCCTCCTGCTCACTTCTTCTCAAAAGCCTTGTTAGAAGGCTTAAGGGTAGCCAGGTTCTGGAACTCCACACTCTCGCCTGCCAGGCCGTCCTCCCCATAGCGAAGCTGCACCACTTGGTTGATGGAGTTCCTCACAGTTGCATCATACTTCACCATCACCGACTCCATGGATTTGATCAACCGCCGCTGGATGTATCCTGGGGGTACATCACAAGTCAAGAGACTCAAGCCAAATAAAATGCCTAAGTCCAAAGACCTCTCTTTATCTTGGAACCCTTGGTGGTCAGTCTGAATCTTGACCCCCTTATCCCCAGAAGAGCCAGCTCTCCTCTGAGGGCTCATAGTGCCCCCTACCTAAGGACTTTATATGAAAGCATGAGAACCCAGTAGAGTCCCCCAGAAACCACCTCCCAAATGATAGACCCAGAGCACAACCCTAGCATTATGGGATGTTATTTAGCAATTAGAACAAGCCTAATGTGCCAAACTGCAAAGCCATTTGAACTGCAAAGTCGGCAGTTGAAGCTCACCAGCTGCTCCTAGGAAACCCTATACAGGGTCACTATGGGTCAGAACCGACTTGACAGCACTTCACAACAACCACCACCTAACTGAGCTCTTTCTATAGGTCAGAAAGGGCTAACGTATCTCTCAGCCTTTACGCTTAGACATTCACCCTCCCTCAAGGATTCTCAACCTGTGGTACCCAGGGAAGGTACTAGCTCATGGCAGGGCCTGAATCTAAAGAACTCACCAGTCTCAGCAGTCTTGACAGCAGTGTCAATGAGCCCCTCACGACCTCCCATGGCATGGAAGAAAAACTCTGTAGGTGTCAGGCCGGCCAGATAAGAGTTTTCCACAAAGCCACGGCTCTCAGGCCCATAGTCATCCTTGATGAAGTGAGGCAGAGTCCGGTGCTTAAACCCAAACGGAATCCGCTTGCCCTCCACATTCTGCTGCCCGACGACAGCAATGACCTGGGGCACAGAAGAGATACACTGGATCTAACTCACTTTTCCTTACAAATAAGAGTCCCCAATATCTTCCCTGATTAACCTCACCCAATACACGCTGGCCTTCCTCCTTCCACTCTACACTGTGACCCAGCATCTGAAAAGACAAGGTTCCCTACCTGGGAGATGTTGATCTTGGAACCTTTAGCCCCAGACACCACCATAGACTTGAAATTGTTGTATTCAGACAGAGATTTCTGGGCAGAGGAACCAGTCTTGTCTCGAGCATCATTGAGAATGCGGTTGACCTGATTCTCAAACGTCTGACGTAGTGTGTTCCCTGGAGTTGGCTCTAGCTCGTTATTATGAGCTTTTTCAATCACCTGGGTGGGTATAAGAGGAGGCAGAGCTCTCAGAAGACATCAGCTCCTGTCCTGTTTCCCTTCCCTCAGACACACTCACACCTCCTTTGCTCTTCATGACATTAAGTTCAAATCCTCAGTGCCTTTTATTTAGTCTTTGCCCAGCCTTCTCACCTCTATCACATCCTGTTTGGCTTTCTTAATAGTGTTCTGAATGTCCTGGTAAGTCTTAGAATCAGCAATGGAGTCCCCAATGCCAATGGTATGACCTAGAAGTAAGGAAAAGCATCAGTAACACCGCCTGTGGACTTCTAAGAAATGGAATGGAATTGTAGCGCAAAGAGTAGCTGGAGGAACACCAGATCCAAGAGGGAAAATGAAAAGGATGGAGGAAAGCAGTAAGAAGTGGAAGACACAGGCTATGGAGAGAGCTTGGTAGAACTCTGACACTTACCCTCGATAAGGAGCCAGTTGTTAATGACAGTTTGAATGTTGGAGTAGAAAAGGCGCGTGATGTCATGACCCATCTCAAGGTAGGATATGTGGACCAGAGAGCCAGCTGACGTGCCCAAAGACTTCTTACACAAGATGCCCATGATCAGTTCCCCATTTTCCACCACCACCTAAAAATAAAGCACATACTCAGGACCCCTGTTCTGGCTCCCATGTCCAAATTCTATCTCCATCTATATAGATGTCAGCCTCTACCTTGGTGTCCCCTGGAGAAATGTGCTTGTAAGGGCCACTGTCCTCATCATCAGGGTGTGTACTATGGGTACGGATGCAATTGATGTGGCCTGGGATGATGAGGGAGAAGATCTGTTTGCCTGTCCACAGGGGTCTAGGCTTGAGGATGGCTGGCTGTGGAACCTTCCCATCCCAAGTAGACAGGAACATCAGGAGGTTCATCACTTCACCCTGGGAGAAGAAGAGGGAGAAAGGTGGGAGTCAAGAGCAGCTCTCATGCCTCAGAGTGTCAGGGGTGGCCAGATTCTGTAGATAAAGAGTCACCAGGAAGAGTGTTTTCCAAACTTTAAACATTCTTTGAAACAGCGAGTTGTTGTTTTTTAATATGCATGAATTACTTTCATAATTAGAAATCAAATAAATGATGGTACAAATACCTACCTATATAAAATTTTAACATCTTTTCTTTTTCCTTTCACCTTTACAAATACCAAGAAACTTAAGGCAGGATCATGGCAGACAGTGCAAAACATCATTGCTCTTCCTCCCTGTCTTTTTCCTCATCATTCAGGGACCCCAATGCCCACCCACCAATTCTCAGCTCCAAAGTCACATACCCGCTCCAGGAAAACATCTCTCTTGGTGAATTTGCGCACTGCTGTGAGCGTGTCCTGCACAATGCCCATGACTGGGCGATTGCTCTGGGGGGTAACGATCATGCGCGGCACCATGGCAAGCTCCTGGATCTCTGCTCTTGTCTCCAGGGACTGTGGCAGATGCAGATTCATCTCATCTCCATCAAAGTCTGCATTGTATGGAGTTGTCACACTGCAGTGCAAGAGAAAGTCAAGTCGGGAACATTTTGGAAATGAACTTAGGAGGAAGCCCCACCCCAGCCTGCTGACTCCCAAATGCTTCCCTCAGTCGTCGGACTGACCTAAGATTCAAGCGAAATGTAGACCAAGGAAGGATGCGAACCCTGTGCCCCATCATAGACATTTTATGCAAAGTTGGTTGCCGGTTGAAGATAACAATGTCCCCATCGCACATGTGCCGTTCCACCTACAGAGGTGAGGGATGAAAAAGGACTCAGTACAATAGGTATGGTATGAATGAAATGACAATGGATCTAAAATTCTTTGCAGAATGAAATGTAGACTGCTGTGGTGTTCTTTCACTTGAAACACTAATCAAACACATCTTTCGGGCTAGGCTCTGATCTAGATACCAAGTTACCAGAGATGAGTAAAATGTAGAATCTATCGATCTCAAGGAACTTAGAGGAGTCAACATGAAGACTTCTGCTCAGTCCTCCTTTCCTGACATATAGTAGCCCTTCACATACTTCTGTTAGGAGCTCTGGTAGCATAGTGGTTATGAATCGGGCAGCTAATCTCAAGGTCAGCAGTTCAAAACTATCAGTAGTTCCAAAGGAGAAAGATGAGATTCTCTGCTCCCATAAAGATTTACAGCCTCAGAAACCCTATGAAGGATCACTATGAGTCGGAACTGACTCCACAGTACATGACCACCATCACCACCACCCACATACTTCTCTGGGGTTTAAGTGACACCTAGCCTGAATGTCAATGACAAACAGCTACCTGTTTAAAGAGCAGCCCTTAAAACAGAGAGTAAGCAAGCCTGGTTCCTCATGAACAGGAAAGCCTCAGATGATCCCGCAGCCTATGCCCGTTCAAAGAGCTTCCTGCTACGTACCTTATAACCAGTCTGCAGGTGAAGGTCACTGGGCTTAGGGTGAAAACGCAGGTCAATGCGATCACCATTGTCTCGGATGATGTACTTGGCTCCTGGGTACTGGCTGTTCCCTCTGCGTACTAGTTCCTGAAGTCTAAGAAGGAAAAAATACAATGCTTCTTCATAATTCCTTGCTGTCCTCCTCACCCAAGTCAAAGTGGAACTCCGACTTTCTAAATTTCAGCCTACCCCTTTTCACCAGAGCCCATGCCCCAAGGCGGGGAGAGCAGCACCTCTCTGAAACCTCACCACTGTGGTCATGTCTCCCTGGCCAATCCAAGACAGGGCTTCTGAACTGAGGCGCACCTGTCAATGTTGAAAGGTGTGACAATCTCCGCAAAGGTCATGTTGGCGGCAATGGAGCGGGGCACGCCAACCTGGTCAATGGAGAGGTTGGGGTCGGGGGTGATGACTGTGCGGGCCGAGAAGTCGACACGCTTGCCCATCAGGTTCCCTCGCACCCGGCCTTCTTTGCCCTTTAACCGTTGCTTCAGGGACTTGAGGGGGCGCCCAGACTTCTGCATAGCCTGTGAGGAAGCGGGGGCCCCAGCAGTCAGCACTAGCCTCTCATTCGGCACCCACCCTGGCTCTGACCCCTTCCTCTCAGGCATATGGGTAGCTGGGGAATGTGCACTCACACGGGGCAAGCCAGGCAGCTCGTTGTCCACCATGGTGGCCACATGGAACTGCAAGAGTTTCACGTCCTCTGCAATGACATGAGCAGCAGCACCGTTCTGCTCATTTCGCCGAAGCTGATTGTTGATCTTCACAATGTCGGCCAGTTTGTGAGTCAGGTCGTCCTGAGGTAAGATAACCATTATCACAATTACAACCACTCATCAAGGAGCTCTGGTAGCGTAGTGGATTACGAGCTGAACTGCTAACCACAAGGTCAGCAGTTCAAATCTACCAGCTGCTCCGCTGGCGAAACATGAGGCTTTCTCCTCCCTTAAAGATTTACAGTATCGGAAACCCTACACAGGGTACCTATGAGTCTGAACTGACGCCATGGCACATTACCACCACCACAACTGTGCCAGGCTAAACCCTCACTGCCATCCTCATACCACCCTGGGACTTGATCTTATAGATAAGGAGGCATTTTGTGACTGTCAACCATGTTAAGGACTTCTTTGCAGGTCCTATGATTTGACTGATGAGTGACAGGGTAATTCCAAGTACAGATCTGTATTCTGCTCCACTATAGAGCCCTGGACACTCTGTCCCACACCCAGACACTACCTCCCCCCTAGAGATCTAGCCACCCAGCTGAGGCTGACCTGGTTTCGGGCCGAGCCCTGCATGACAACAGCAGGCCGCACAGACAGTGGGGGCACTGGCAACACAGTGACGATCATCCATTCAGGCCTCGCATAACGGGGCTCCATGCCAAGAACAAAACACTCCTCATCGGAGATGCGCTTGAAGATCTCATGCACCCGCTCAGGGCTCAGGAGGATCTTCTTTTCCTGAGAGTCCTCATTGACGTGCTTCCATTCTGCGTATAACTCCAGGCCTGAGCGCCGGATCCGGGGCTGGTACCGCCCACAACCACCATGACCCTTCCAAAGAGAGAGAGGAGCCAAAGTATGAGAACCATACCCCTGTCCTACACCCTCTCACCTCCACCATCCCACCAGGCTAGCCCCTCAATGACTCTAGCTCCTGTTTCTTCTGCCACTTCCTTCCATCTGATCCCTTCCCTTTCCCAGTAGTCTCTGCCAGTCCATCACCTTTTCTTTGGTCAGATCTTCATCACCCTCAGGCTGCTCCACACCAAACTTGTTGTCCATCTCCTCTCCACCCTCACAGATGTTTTTGCCCTTGCAAAGGTCATAGACGTGTGTGAGACGCTTCTTGGGCTGTCCTTTGGACTTAGCCAGGATGTCCTTGATCTTTGGATTGTTCTGGAGACAGAGCAGAGAAGGTCAGTTGGGCTTGTTACTTTCCATCAAGCAGCCCCTCTCCCCAGGTCAGACCCCTCAACCACTCACAGAGTCCACGAGCAGTTTGGAGCAGAAGAAGCAGACGCAGCGCAAGACTTTCATGGTCTTCACCAGGAAGCCCACATGGAAGACAGGCTTGGCCAACTCAATGTGGCCAAAATGGCCAGGGCACTCCGTCATGTTTCCTGTGGAAGCACACAACTAACATTTTCTCTCCTAGCTCTCATTTACCTCAGAGACCAAGTCTTTAGGGTGCCTACCCTTAGCCCTGGCTTTCTCCAAGAACGAACTCTTTCTCCCCACTCAGAATTCTACTCCAGCCCGCAACACTCACCTGCACATGTTTGGCAGCGACCAGTCCGCTCAATCACTCCCTGCCTTGGATCCATCAGTCCTCCAAGCTTGGGGCGGCCTCCCTCAGTTGTCTCTGGGTATTTGATACCACCCTCTGTCACAGACATTCGCTTCTGTGGGGAAAAACAAAAAACACACAACAACTAAATAGATTTCCTAGTTTCCTATACTAAAGTTTGAGAGAACTCCAAAATACTTTGAGAAGAACTAGCCAAGGTCAGCCTGGGTTGGGATAACTGGGAATGACTGTCATTTGGGAAAACGTCAAAGACAAATATGACACACATCAACAGCTCATTCTGATCCTTGAATGGGAGAGGAATATTCAAAATACGTGCAGTAGACCCTGGGCACCATTCAAATACATCTAAGATTTGAACCCCAAACAGCCTTTCAGTTGAGTTCTAGGTAATTCATATGCATAGGATTTACCACAAAGAAAAATACATGGTGTTTCAAGGGGGAAAATAATAAAACAATGCTTTGTTTCTTCCCTACTAAAGCTGAATCATTACACTCTGAGTTCCCAGCTGGAAGCTAGGTGCACCTGCCCCCTTGGAATGACAGCCTAGGTTATCCTGCCTTCAGACTCATCCAGCTCCTAAGGAGAAATCAGGCACTTGCAAATGTAGTCTTGTCTCTTTACCACCTTCTCAAAGGGTTCTGATCTGACTGAACTCTTCCATGTTAAGAAGAGCTATGCTAAGATAAGCGAGCTGGGCATGAAGAGGACAGGTGCACGAGAATTCTCTGGGCAGAGGTAGACCAAAGTGCCTCAAGCCGAGCCTGTGGCTGGAATCCTGAGGACGGTGGACCCAGTATTCATGGAGTCAACTCAATGAAGGAAAGGAAGACAGAATTCAGGAGTCCACAGGAGTTGGGAGATTTCTACCCTGGGCTACAGGTTGGTTACTGTGACCTTTGGTATCCTTTTACACTGAAAATCAAGGATTTTTAAATTGCCTAGGCTTTGATCCACTAAACTCCCAGGAGGAACTTAAGAGGAATTTAGCTTTTATTTTAGCACTGGTACCAGGTTAGACACCAATTACACTTAAGTATCTTATATATTTAAATTGGGTTAATGCACCAGACTGCAGAGTCAGTTTGAACTGCAAGGTCTGCGATTCAAGCTCACCAGCGGCTTCTTGGAAAACCTATAAGGGTTGGTCTAGGTCAGAACCAACTCAACAGCACTAACAAAAACAAAAATAATCTTAACCACTGGAGTACTGGCATGGTGCTGTAGGGTAAGCACTAGACTACTAACCATAAGGTCAGTAGCTCAAACTTACCAGTTGCTCCTTTGTTGCTGTTGTTAAGTACCGTGGAGTCGGTTCCGACTCATAGCGACCCTAAACAGGGTTTCCGAGGCTGCAAATCTACGGGAGCAGAACACCTCATCTTTCTCCTGCAGAATGGCTGGTAGTTTTGAACTGCCGACCTTGAGGTTAGCAGCCCAATTCGTAACCACTACACCACTACCAGAGCTCCTTGGAAACCCTATGTAGGGTCACTATGAATCAGAACTGACTCGATGGCACTAAACAGCAACACTCTTATTCACTAACTTCACAGAAATTACTTTTTTAAAAAAAAGAAAGAAACCTGACACTGCATAACGCTGGCTTGTCAAAGTCTTAATCATAAGGAGTGTTGGCAGTTGAGGCCAACCCTTCCAGGTGCCAACATATACACTCATCCCCCTCTACCAGACTGCAACACACACCATGACTTACACTCTAGAATTAAAGCACAAGGTGGCGATGTGGATTAGGCATTGAGTGGCTAACTGCAAGGTTAACAATTCAAACCAACCAGCTGCTCCTCAGGTGAAAGACTGAGGTTGTCTGATCCTGTAAAGATTTAACCTCTAGAAACTCTATATAGGGTCAAATTTGACTAGATGGCAATGGGTTTTTGGGACTTAGTGCCAAGCAGTACAGGCTGATTTTCACTCTTACCTTCTTAACTAACTTACAAAGTAAGCATAACTGTCTCCATTTTGCATATTAGAATATTGATTGACTGGCTCAAAGTCATGCAACTATAAGCATGTGGTAGAGCAGATTTAAACCTGTTTTTGTTGGCTTCCCCTGTACAGTCTTTTCATTACATCATGCTGGAAAAAAGCACAAGTGAGTTCAAATCAGCTTTCTTCCTAAATATACATCTTCTTCCATTACCACTGTTTATCACTGAAGCTGAAGCCACTCCAGAGAGGCTGATTAGCTTCACTCCAGCAAACCTTCAACCTGTCTGCCCTTACCTTGTTGGCCCTTTGCTGCACGTGACAAACTAGAGATAAGACACTTCATTTCTATGAAAGCGCTCCCTCTGCTTCCATACCATGCTATCTTCTAAGTCTCCTTCCCAGGCTCCTCTGCCTTGGTTTGCTCCTGCTGTTCCCTTGGGTTTGAGGTGGTCCATTTCTCTTTAAATCCAATATGCTGCCCTATAATTTTCATACATACTGATGACTCTCAAGTGTCTACCTCTAGGCCTCTTCTTTCTTTTGTGGAGTGTGGGGAAGGGCTGAAGTAGGGTGGAGTAAGGAGTTAAAGTTAGGGTTAAGACTATAGCTAGGTCTAGGCTAGCCCCAGGGATCATTTAGTGACAGGGTTATGGTTAGGACTAGGGCTAGTGCTAGGATTAGGGGTTACACTAGGACTAGGAGTAAGGCTAGGTTTAGCTTTAGGGCTATATAGTTAGAATTATTTTTACTTACTTTCTTGAAATCCACTTGATAACCACTTTATTTAGAAGTTTCATTGCTACAATAGTCTGTCTTTTTATTTTGTTTTTAGTTGTTACTGTTGCTGTACACTGGTATCTCTGGTTCACAATTTTTAATCTTGTAAATTTGTTTTACTTTGAGTTTTTCTACATCTGGGTTGAGTTTGGGTGCTATTAATCAGGTGTGTTAATCTTAGGTTGTCATCTGCTGTTGTTGGTTTTCTGTTCAAAGAACTCCAGTTAGCATTTTTGGTAAGGTTGGTCTTGTTTTTATAAATTCTTTAATTTCTATTTACCTAAAAATGTCCTAATTTCACCATCATATGTGAAGGACTACTTTGCTGGGTATATAATTTTGGTTGCTAGTTTTTGTTTTCAGCGTTTTATATATATGTCATCCCACTGTCTTGCAGTTTCTGCTGAAAAAGTCCTCACCTTTCATCTGCACTTTGGATTCACATGCTTAGCTATCTGCTGAGCCAGATAACTCAAATTCAACATGTCTAAAAGTAAATCCTCTTTTTCCACAAAAACCTCTGCTTTTTCTTATGTCCTCATCTCACAAGATGACACTCAAGTCAGAAATCTATGTCGTGGTTGTTAAAGGCCATTGAGTTGGTTCTGACTCAGAGCAACTCTGTACAGGGTTGCTGAGGAGCAGCTAGTGGGTATGAACTGCTGACCATGAAGTTAGCAATCCAATGTTTATCCTACAGCACACCACACCACACCAGAACTCCTACGTTGTTGTTGTTGTTAAGTGCCATTGAGTCCATTTCTGACCCATAGCGATCCTGTATAGCGTTTTCAAGGAGCCAGCTTGTGAGCTTGAACCACCGATCTTGCAGCTCAAACAACTTTGCAGTCTGACGCGTTTGCCCACAGCGTCACACCAGGACTCCAAGACTCCTATACTCAGCATAAAACAGTTGAAAGATAGGCGCTTTGGAGTCGGAAACCACTCTTTTGGAAGAGTACAGGCTGTTTATCAGTTATGAACTATGGAAGCATCAAGGACTGAATTAGCTGGCTTAAGCTCAGGCCATAATAGGCAATCAATAAATGACAGCTATTATTATTGCTCCTCAAAAACTCTATACAGGGTCATTATGGGTTGGAATCGACTCGGCAGCACTTAAAAACAACATTATTATCCAATCATTCACTAAGTTCAGGTTTATTTATTTTTTGAATCTTGGCCCTCCTTCCCCCATCCCTTTAAACACCACTGCTTACAAGTGGGGCTGCTAATCTCATAGTGAGCAGTTTGAAACTACCAGCAGTTCTGCAGGAGAAGAAAGATAAGGCTTTCTGTTTCCGTAAAGATTTATAGCCTTGGAAATCCTATACAGGGTCCTTATGAGTTTGAACGGACTCCATGGCACAAAACCACCACCACCCTCATTCAGACAGTAAGACAAGTGTCTCATAGTTCCATCAGTTTTTCCCTCTTCAATCCATCCACACCAAAGGACAGTATGTAAAGAGAGATCATTCATACCTTCTCTTGTCCTCAGAATGGTATCGAAACTCAGCAAAACTGCTAACAATTAAGTGTTAAGACATTCTGACCTTCATTTCTTCAATGCTCCAAAACTGCCCTACATCCCCTGGGACTCAGCACAACATGTGGGGCTGTCTCTGCTTGGAATTCCTTTCCCACTGGACAAAGCTATTTCACAACTAACTCGGCTCAAACATTCTTCCTCTAGGAAGTCTTCCCAGGGACTCCACATTTTTCCCATGTAGACCAGGTCTTCGCCTCTGTTTTTCCACAGCTCCTTCTCTCTAGGAAAGATCTGTCTCCCTCATATCCATGAGTTCCTCCTGGGCAGACAACACCCTCCTCAGCTTGGATCCCTCATGCCTGCCTGACATACAGCAGGCTACCAACAAATGCTTACTAACTTAAACTAGCTACTTAAGGCTTTCCACTGCAAGGAGGTGCCTTAAGAACTCAGAAAAAACAGAGTTGGTTGCCTGCCCTTTAACAGTTAAAACTCTTTATCCGCCCCCTCTGCTCAGAGTCCACACTCGCCAAGCCAACCACCCTTCTAACTACTAGCTCTTTCTCCAAGCATTCTGAGACTGTGAAGCAGAGTGTCTTGGGCAACAGACATGAATGCTCTGGTGATGGGAATAACTATCTACTATCCTTCCATCATAAATTCTACCTACTTTCATCCCCAACCCTTCAACCAAACACTGGTTCTTCATTGCCTACAGAATAAAGATTACATTCCTGAGGACTGGTAGGTTGTGAGCTGGGTTCTTGCTCAGGAACTGCCCTGCTCTAACTATGTGACCTAAGCTTACAGAACATGAGGCCTGTCTCTAGTTGATTCTCAATAAATATTCATTCTCTCTGCTTTTAGCA